ATATATATCTATATCTACATGTACCTTCACAATTCATTAAAATCAGTTACGCATTCACAGCACACAATATATAATATATTCATATATTTCCAAGTTAAAGATCAGCTCTATCAATAACTAAAAATTTGCATGACAAAACAGCCGAACAAAGAGCACGCAAAGGACCTGGTAAATAAGCTCCTGGCAACGACTGTGCGCTGTTGTTGTTGCTGTTGTTTTTTTAAGCCCTTGTAAGCAGCTCATTGAGCAACAAAAGCTATGCGATAACACACAAACACACACACACATACATACACACAGACTACAACACGATTGCAATTGCAGAGTCACAAGCGGCTGCCGCAGAGCCCACTAAAGAGTCGCACTCATTAATGCAGTGTCAATGACAATGCCAATGTGTGTGTGTATGTGTGTGCGTGTGTGTGTGTACGTGTAGTGAACGTGTGCCGGTCATTTTGGCTTGAACTTCTTTAATAGACAATGCCCCGCACAAAAGCGGGCGTGGCATGCGTGCGAACTACCGACAACCGACTACCAAGCGCTGCCGCCTCTCTATTTGCCTCTCTCTCTCTCACGCTCCCTCTCTCTTTCACTCCCTCTCGCTGTGTCTCACTCACCCCCTTTTTTGGGTTACTTCGTGTACTCGTGCGTGTAACGCATCTGAAGTGATTTGTAAACAAATTAAAGGCGTGCACGTGTCGGCCTCGTTAAGCTACGTCCGCTGTGCGATGTCCGCTGTCCGCTGTCCAATGTCTGCGGATGCGAATGCGAATCTGAATGCGGATGCGTGTGTCTGATATCCAACTACAATGCCAATACAATGAGCTTTGCGGTGGGCAATGGGTGGTGCAGTTGAACAGTCCGTTTGCCGTGCGCGTGTGTGTGTGTGTGTGTGTGTGCATTTTGGTTTGTTCAACATATGTCGCGCAGTGAAAAGCATTTACATTCCACGTTCATAAGTAAACGTATCACAGCTATCACTAGTTGTAATCTATAGGAGAGAGGGAGATATAGTGATAGAGAGAGAGAGGGTGCTCACGAGAGCAGCTCAAAGAATTGTTGGGATTTTAACTTTTTGGCCCCGCACTCAATAAGCCAATCGCATTTGATCATATTAATTAGCGCGTGCTGTAAGAGTCGAGTGTGAGAGAGAGGCAAGTCAAGTGTTTGAGTTGATTGTTTTGATACTATCAGAGCGGAATTAAAAATCAAGATAAATATGTCACATAAAAGAAAACATGCTATTGAAGTTGAGCTGTAGCGGAAAGGCTTAGAGGCAATCGCTGCGATTCGCGGAATTCGCTTGAGAATCTTAAATGTGTTTTGCCACAATTGTGAATCGCGGTTTGGGCATGAGAAGGTATCGGAACTAGATTATAGCAACTCTTAAGCTGTATGGGAAAGGATTATGAATGTGTTCGAGAATTTAATTAAAAGTTACACAAGTACAGAATATTGGAATTAAGTAGAAAACAATTCTACATAATTGTATGTAATATATACAAATTATAAATATGCTTACACTTATATTAGGGATTCTTGAGTATATTTTTCGGCAATATAAAATAGCTACAATACTGTTAACACTGATCTTGAATATTTATTAGCAGGTCGTCCAAATTAAAAAAAAAAAAAAAAAAAAAAACAAACAAATCCAAAACCAAAAAATAACCCACAATGCCTGTTCCAAATGAATTATTGGAGAAGGATAT